AATAGAATCTTCAACAGTGAAGGTGTAAACTGAATTTGACAATGACAGAAGCAGGAGGACCTTCAGCTTTCACAGGTAAGTGGACCTTCAGATTCTTTATTTATTCTTGGCCTTGGGTTCGAATCTGACTATTAGGCTTTGTTTGTATTATTGTATTTGGCTTTGAACTTTAAGGAATATTAAAATGGTTGTTGTCCAAGTAGTGATGAGTACATTACTTTATTAAGTTAGTTACTCTCATAAAGATGATGCTTTTAATTTGACTTTGTGGCTTTTTACTGCTGCAAATGATTGGTTGGTAGAGTAAATTCAGGTTTTATGCTCTATTTTGTGTTGTAGATGTAGAATCAAATTGGACAGGTGAGGAAGAAGAACAAACAAGCAGCGAGAGTGACGAGGATTTGGATGAAGACCCAGATTTTGTAGACCTTGCCTATGCACAAAGTGAGGACGATGTCAGATTGTTGAGGGATGATGATAATCTGTTTCAGGGATATGTAGACCATGATGCAATTGACATAGACCCTAATGCAGGTGAAGAGGATGAGGAGTTAGATAATAACCCTGCTTCACCTAGGATGTGTACACCAGAGCACTCTTCTTCTGAGTCTGAGGTTGTGACTGGAAACTGCTTGAGAAAGAGGAAGCTCCCTAACTTTAAAGACTTCATCCCATCCGTCGATATGAAAAATCCTCGATTTGAGCTCGGTTTAAGATTTCCTAGTCGTGAAATCTTTAGGGCAGCTGTGAGGAGGCATTCTGTCCTAATTGGTAGAGAGCTTAAGTTTAAGGTGAATGATGGCACTAGGATTCGAGTAATTTGTGATGAGAAGTGTCCATTTCACCTATATGCATCATCTGTGCATGGAAGCAAGCATGTTCAAGTGAAAACCTATGTTGGGAAACATACTTGTGGGCAAGGGAATGCGAATATTCATGCCAATGCAAAGTATTTTTCAAACTGGTATGAAAGCAATTTAACAAATCCTAACTGGGATGTGGGATCTTTTCAAGAGAAAGTGAACCAAGAAACTGGTTATTATCCTTCTAGGGCACAAGCTTATAGGGCAAGAAGCTTAGCAACCAGCAATATTGAGGGGAGTTATACCGAACAATATGAACTTTTATGGGATTATTGTGAGGAGTTGAAAAGGACAAATCCTGGTAGTTCAGTGGTGGTAAAGTCTGAGTTAGAGGGTGATATGCCAAGATTTCAGAGGGTTTACATTTGCTTGCAAGCTTGTAAGCAAGGGTTCTTGGATGGTTGTAGGCCTTATATAGGGTTGGATGGTTGCCACATCAAAGGCCCTCACCCTGGCCAATTGTTATGTGCTGTAGGAGTTGATGCAAATAATGGGATGTTCCCATTGGCATATGCTGTAGCTGAAGTTGAGAGTTACAATACTTGGAAGTGGTTTTTGGAGCTATTAAGTCATGATTTGAAGATAGAGAACAGCCATGGCTATTTGTTTATGACTGACAAACAAAAGGGATTAATTGATGCTGTGGATAATTTATTCCCAAATGCTGAGCATAGGTGTTGTTTGAAGCATTTATATGCAAATTTCTCGAAGGAACATAAAGGATTGGCCCTACACCTACAAATGGAATCAATAGCAAGGGCCACTACACTGCCATGGTTTGTTGAGGAAATGAAGAAGATGTTAGAGTTAGATACAGCTGCACATGCTTGGTTATGTGAGAGGGATGCAAGTCAATGGGCTAGATCCCATTTTAGAACTGACTTTAAGTGTGACATTTTGATGAATAACTTAAGTGAGGCTTTTAACTCATCTATAATGCCTGCAAGGAACAAGCCTGTGTTGATTGCATTGGAGAGGATTAGAATGTATTTAATGATCTTAATGGCTTCAAGGAGAGTAGCCGTGGATAACTGGCATGGTCAAGTTGGGCCTAGAATACAAGGGGTATTTGAGGTAAATAAGGCAGCTGGGCAGTGGTGCATTCCGAGGCATGCAGGACAAAATAAATTCCAAGTGATGCATCACAGTGGGAGACAGTTTGTGGTAGATTTGAATGCCCATACATGCTCTTGCAGAGCATGGGATCTCAGTGGTCTTCCTTGCCTCCATGCTTGTGCTGCAGTGAGTAGATTCCATGGGAATCCAGAAGATTATGTGCATGACTTCTACAAGAAGGATGCTTATCTAAGAACTTATAGGGACATGATTCACCCCTTGCCTAGCCAAGACTTGTGGCCTAAAAGTGGTTTACCTTCTTTGAAGCCTCCTTTTTACCATAAACAACCTGGTAGGCCAAAGAAGAGTAGGAAGAAGGCATCTGATGAGCCTAAAAAGAAATCAAATCCCAACAAACTCCAAAGATACCACACTGTCATCAAGTGTAGCAATTGTGGGCAAGAGGGTCATAACAGAACTAAATGTAAGGAGCCAATGAAGAACCAGCCAAGGCGTAAGCAATCTGTAAGTATTGCTTATTATATTTCATTACAATTGCACCATTTATTTATTATATTTAGAAAAACTGATACTAATATATCATTTGTGTAGGTGAGGAGAGCTAATACACTAGGACAATCAGGCCAACCTCATTCACAGCCAAGACATAAGCTTCCTGTAACTCAATTGATATATTAGTTTTACAAAAACATACAGACTAGTTTTTCAAAAACATACAGACTAATATGTCATTTATGTAGGTGAGGAGAGCTCGTTCAAATTCTCACTCAATGGAACCTAATGCACAGCCAAGCCAATCAACTCATCTTTCACAACCAAGCCAATCAACTCATCTTTCACAGCCAAGCCAATCATCCCGAGCTCAATCACAATCATTGCAAGCCCACATAATTTCTGATAAAGAGGGAGGTCCTTCAAAGAAGAGGTTGACATCTACTACAAACAACAACGAGTGGCTAAAGAAAGTTAGGGCCAATATGCAACCTTGGCAGTGGTGATTTTGATGTCCATGAAGAAGTTTGCAATTGTGTTGACTTCAGTTGATGTGGAATTATGTTTTAATAAGGAAAGGGAGAAAACAATCACCGTTGTTCATGTGAAAGAACTAATTTTGGCATTTTGTGTTTTTGATGTGGAATTGTAAGCCTTTTGAAATAGATTTGATGTACAATTGGCTACAATTGGGTTTTTGATGTGGACATGGTCTTTTCTTGTCGAATTAGAATGTGTAAATTGATGTTCACAATAGAAATGTACTTAATGAATTAAGCCTATGTTGGCATCAAGTTTATTTGTCAAGTAAATTGAGCCAGTGGTGATTTTTTAGTTTCAGAATTCATTTACCTATTTGTTTAGTTTGCTCAGTATCTCAAAGTATAGTTAGTTGATACAAAAAAAAAAAGGAAAGAAAAAAGTAAGACCACTTTACAGAGAAATATTAAACAACAACAAAAAGTATGACAATATTCAAATACCATTGGATTAACCATTCTAAAAAGCACCCGATTACATAACGCACAAATGCCATTGTGCTCAACCATTCCCAAAACACTTGCAGATTACAATCACCATTGGATTTACCATTCTAAAAAACACCAGATTACCTAACACAAATGCCATTGTGCTCAACCATTCCCAAAACACTTGCAGATTACAAACCTACCTCCTCCCCTTTGTTACAGTTAAGATTACTAAACCTACAACTCTAAACCTAATGATGATTATCCCTTAAACCAGCAACCATCATGGAAATCAACATTATCCAAGAAAGAAACAGAAATCCCCACAACAATTTCTCTCTACTTCGAAGCTTGGCTAGATCTTGTTCCAGTCTTCCCCTATTCTTCAGCAACCCAGGTATTATATCCTTTGAACGAGAACACATCTGTGGATCAAACCACTCAAAGAAGCAACAACCTCTGTTCCTTCCCTGTAACACCATAATATCATCAAAAACTACCATAAACAAGCAAAAATCTACAAAATTTAAAGTGGTTGTTACCAGTGGGCATACTAGAAACCTCCGACCTGGGTTGGAATCTGTCCACGAGGTCTGAACTCGGCAGAGCTTTCCACAATGGCAATGCTTTCGTTGTCGACCCTCCATCGCTTGTTCAATTCAATTGTTGAAAGAGGTCTTTAGGGTCCACAATTGTTTGCAATTTAGGACCAATTTTTGCAGAGTTAATTAATACCCATTAATTCTTATATGGACAAATGAACCAAGAAAAATGGCACATGGGAGGCACGTGTGCAAGTTTGACGACTTCTGTTTAGGTTGGATGGAATCCAGGCAAAGTGAGACACTATATGGAGTTTCAGGGGGGAAAGTGAGACACTTAGAGTTTCAGGGGGGTAATTGAGACTGAAATTGAGTTATAGGGGGCATTT